TTGGCAACTCTCCTCTCAGTCCATCATCATTAGTTTTTACTTACTATATTTAAAACAAATGTTGGAACCTTGCAATTTGACTCAAGTCTTCCAGAGGTTTCAACTGATAACTAGAGTGCTACTGTTTCATCTTGCTATGCAAGTCACTGATCATCAATAATATATTGTATTTGAGGAGGTTTGCAAAGTAGTTTTCTTACAATCCTAATTTTTGGATAGAAAAATATTGTATGTGATCCCATGAATTTCTAAATTACCAATCCACTGATTCTATAACTTGGGAACATGTGTTAGAACATATCCCCATTTACTTCCAAAGCATCAGTAATAATCCCAAGAAGACAAAACTATGATTTGAAAATAAGCTACAAATTCACCTTTCCCCTCACTTCTCTTTTGCCTCCACTTTCAGTATCTAGCTTAGTGTGCTAATCATAGTTCAATATATGAGTAATCGGCTTCCATTAAAACAAAAAAACCCAGCTTTTGAAAGGCCATTTTTTAATTTGACCTATCAAATTGAAATATCCCAGGATGCTATGATTAGAACTAAATGGGAAACTGAAATGGACTCATACATGAATGATGAGGTTGTGAAATGGACACATTTCAACAAAACCATCATTTTCTGATCTTAGGCTCATTGTGTATATAATAGCTGTAGTTCCAGTGGTGGCTATTGGTACACTGGAGTTCCAATGCTTTAACATAACTTTATATAGGCAGATATTTTTTTTTTTGCAGCTTGCTTCATTGTCAAGAAAATCATTCAAATTTAAAAGAAAGAACATTATTCCCCATCCCTTTCCTCCACAGAGTGCTGTAGAGTAGTCCATGCATAGCCTTTGAGTCAGGATGGATAGAATTAACGAGTAGGTTAAGACTTTACATTTTAAATATTTTAGATACCATTTTAGAAAGCTACTGGAAAGAAGTAAAATATATATACGGCTTTGTTGCTTTTGATTGAACTACCCATATATTACAGGTGTATAGCAAGGTTTGCTGCTTTAAAAGCAGACATGTTCTTGTTAAATATAAGAGGGATATGATTAATTCATTATTCACTACAATAAGTGTTTCAGTGAAATAATATTGGTTAACCTGCCCAACAGGGAGTTTTTCATCAAGCCATAGAAGAAGTAAATTTGATGTTAAATAAACATTATTCAATGTTATGATCAATTTTGAAAGAGGTATCAGATTACATTTGCACTATTAGGAATGTTAGCATTTGTGCAGAAAGAATGCCTTATCTGTTTTCCCCACCGTATTTAGGTTAATAAGCTTTCTGATGTTTTGATTAATGCTGAACCAAAAATTAGTAACAAAAGAAAAAAATAGTGCTTTTCCCCTACCCCCATCTTCCAACTACACCAGTAGGTAAAATCAGTATGACCTGTTTCATACTATATTTAACACTCAGTACATGAAAATTGATAAATAAAACCATATTCTTTACTATCACTACATTCATTTCGTTGATAAGAAAACAATGGAGATTTCTTGTTAGCTCCACATTTTACTTATGCAGTTTGTCCAAGAAATCTCTGATTATAGTTGGTATACTACATTGAAATATAGGGTAATAAAACATTTTAGTAATGTTGACTGGAATGCTGTCTGTTTGATTGTGGACACCCACACACATACGTGCCAGTCTGAACTAATGAGAGATAATATATGTCTCATATGTACAAAATCTTGATTATTTTACGTAAATTGGGTAAAAAGATCTTACTACATTTGTAAAATCTTGTACAGAGGATTTTTTCACTATGTGCCTAGCTTTGGTGTCCATTTTGCTCCAATTTGAAAACAGGTGCATGATGATAAAACAAATAGAAATAAAGTATATGTAGAGATGACTATTTTATATTACATGGCCCAATCCTGTATTTATTTTCCTCCCTTTTTGAAGTATTTATAAAGACCTAGTTGAAGATGGCTGTATTTTTTGTTAAAATATTTAGTAGAATTGTGCCTTTGTCTGTATGTGAATAAATGCTGTACAATTTGCAATACACTTAAGTGTTCTGTTGTGATATCTGCGTATATACTCATTTGACAATGTTAAATAGGCAAATCTCAGCAAATACTCGTGAACTCAAATTAATCGGTGATGGATTCAACATCTTCAATTGTATATGTTTCCTAATATAAGCCTTAATGGAATGATGGCATATATAACGGTGTATTTTGGGCTTTAAACCACTACTGAGGATTTCCCTTTTTCTATTCTTACCTCTTCTTTATCTCTTAGTATATCTAACTGCTTTGAATAGCATGCCATTTCTTCCATCTATCCCATTTCCCACTTCCCTTCTGCAATATTCAATGATTCATTGGTTATGACATTCACAAAATGACTGTCTTTCATAATTATGCTTGATTTCTGCAAATTTCTGACATATTGAAATTAACCTATCAGTCTTTAACCAAATTTCTAAATAATGTGTAGATTTTATTAAGTAAGACAGTTTAATAAGTTTTCTGTAGATAATAGTTTGTAATTCTGCACATGGAATTATTCCTTTAGGATTAAGATATATCTGCCCAATGCTACTTAAAAGCTTGGAGTAAAACAGGGATGTCTCAAACTACATTGTTGAAGTTGTTGCTTTCTGTACTGTGATTACAAGGTTTTATTTTTTTTAAAAACTTCCAGGATTAACAAGACAGAAGGTACTGGTTCTATCCATGTTGCTAATTACCAGGTGTGATTAGAGATGAGAAGATAACACAAACCACATCTATAAAGTCATTTGGTTAGTGAGATAGGCGGTATCTAAATTTAATAGATGGATAAATAAATTCAATCTTGCTGGATTAGGCCAAGGCCCATTTCATTTCAGTTTTTTTTTCTTTCAGTAGCCAAAAATGTGCCCTTGGGATCTCAGCAAGAATAAGGACATTCTCTTTGTTGATTCCCCTAGTAATTGGCATTGACAAAAAGTCATCCATCTTAGCCCTGACTATCTTGGAACAAGTTTGTCAAGTGTGAAGACAGCCATAGCATGAAGTGCTTTGCTTTGTGGGAAGGAATAAAACTGTCCCCATCAGCTATCTCTCTGCTATGCATGATTTTGTCACAGTCATGTTCTACTTGTGATCCTTCCCCCACACACACCCTGCCTCCCAAAACTAGATTGTTCTAATCATTCTTGGCTTTTCTTGTAGGAAGGGTATTTGAGCCAATTGTTTTCTTTCTTCAATGTACCTAGAACTCTAAATAGCATCCCAGATGAAGATATACCATAGACTTGGATTTACAACACTCTTTATTTTTATTTTGAATTCCCTCCCTAACAATCTTTAGTATGGTATTTGCTTTTCTCGCAGCTGCTGAACATTTAGATGATACTTTCTTGGGTATCGTCTGACTTCAAGATATTTCTCTTTCTTCATTTCTAACTTCCTTGTTCATTCTGCCACAAAAATTAGAGGGGGTGGATCAGCCAGGCAGGATAAATATGCAGCTACAGTTTTAAATATCTGGACATAGAGAGATAATCGCTTGTTTGTGGTGGCCCGCAAAGCTAATTTCAGATAACAAATTCAGAAAAAGATTTATTAAAAATGGTAACCTCGTAACAGGCCAAATCAATATTTCCTGTGAACATGTCCTGCCCTGCAGAAAATAATTGATTGAAACCATTGTCTTTCAAGAGGAAGAAAAATAAACAGCCAAATACATTCCTTTATATTAAAATACCCATACTTCTAGAACAAATTATTTACAAGTATAAGATCTGGGCTGTAAATGCTCAGAAAACCATTAACGCTAGTAATTCCAATTCTTGCAGCCTAATAAGCTTGATCTGAAATGCAATTCTTTCACATGACCAAACATCATTTTCCCAAAACAAAGTTCTGTTTTGAAATAAAATGTATTATCTATTTCATTCACAATCCTATTTTACATGTTCTTAAATTGAACTGAAATTTAAATTAATCCGTTAATTTAATCGGTTTAAAGAAATTCTGGAACCTTACTCAATTACTTGGGTTTTTTTAAAACTATTTTGTTTAGTGTTTTCCACAAATTTGTCCAGTTCATTAATAAGTTATGAACAAATTAAAAATTATCAGTCCTAAAGCAGGTTGAGGAATTCCGCTTCTCTGCATTATGAAAACTGACGATTATTTTTTTTTAATCAGATAGTAAACCATAAAATGAAAAAAGAATACATTATTACTGCTATATTTTAAAGTATACAGAATTAATAGGGTGAACTTCCATTCATGCCCATTTGAGCCAAGAGAAACAAGTTGGATTTTACAGCTGTGCATACACTGGATTGCAGTGATAAGCTGGAGAGGTTTCAGGCTAGGTTGCAAAGGCAAAAGATACCGTATATTGTGTTAGTTCCTGAAAGATACTATATTTTGAAGCCTTTGCTTATATTGAATTTTTAGACTGCAGGCCAAATACAAAGATGGGTTTTTCAGTATTCCTGAAAAGATGAGATCACTGCTTGGTTGGCCTATGACTAATTGCCATTACTAATGTTCTCAAGGTTACAAAAATAATGTAAACAACCTGTCCCAGATATCTACAGTCATTAAAAAGAAAGAGCACTCTGACTGAGTTATATGGTTTTATGTATCAGGACGTAATAATCATCTGGTCCTTAGCAGTTCTTAAATGTAGATAAATACAACCTCAAATGAACAACATACGGCTTATTACACTATGCCATCTTTTATTTTACAAAAAGAAAGTCAAAATGGAAGCCATGGGTTAAAAATTAAATACACCTTATAATCCAATAGCTTGTAGAACCACCTGTAGAAGCAATAACTTGGAGTAATTTTTTTCTGTATGACTTTTATCAGTTTCTCACATCATTGTGGAGGAATTTTGGTCCATTCTTTACAACATTGCTTTAGTCTATTGAGATTTATGGGCATTTGTTTGTGCTCTTGAGGTCCCACAGCATTGAACTTGGCTGAGGTCTGGACTTTGACTAGGCCATTGCAACATCTTGCTTTTTTTCTTTTCAGACATTCTGTTGTAGATTTGCTGGTGAGCTTGGAATTATTGTCCTGTTGCATGATCTAATGTTGGCCAAGCTTTAACTGTTAGATAGCTGGCTTCGCATTTAACTTAGAATACTTTGATATTCAGAAGAGTTCATAGTCAACTCAATGACTGCAAGGTGTCCAGGTCTTGTGGCTGAAAAACAAGCCCAAATAATCACCCCTCCACTATGCTTGATGATTGGTATGAGATGTTTGTGCTAATATGCTGTATTTGGTTTTTGCCAAATGTGGCAGATATTGGCACTTTGGTCTCATCTGTCCAAAGAACAATGTTCCAGAAGTCCTTGTGATTTGCTCAGATGCAACTTTGCAACTAAGCCATGCTGCCATGTTCTTTTTAGTGAGAAGAGGCTTTCTCCTGACAACCCTTCCAAAGAAGCATACTTGTTTGTCCATTTCTAATTGTAGTATTATGAACTTCAACATTTAGTATGCTAACTGATGCCTGTAGAGTCCAAGATGTAACTCTTGGGGGTTTTTTTTCAATTTCTTTGAGCACTGCCCGGTCTGACCTTATTTTATCTAACTCTACACAAAATTTATTTTTTTCTGTTTCATGTATTCCTTGTACCTAACCAAAGGAGGAGTTTCAAATATATGTTAAATTTTTCCATCTTGAAAACTCATGGACTTTCCAAGATAATGTAGATAATTTGGTCCATGTTATGACAATGTGGTAACATTCTAATTATTGTTATAGAACAGCTAAACAATTGCTATAATTGGAATTTCTACTTTTTCAGTAATTTAAATGCCAAGTAAGAATTAGTTTTGCTAGTTGTATAATCTGACATCCCAAGTCTGTGTACTTTTCAAACAGTAAGCAGCAATTCAGCAATATTGTATGAATGGATAGAACATTATTTTCAGATCAATACATATACCAACAGCTGAAAGTTAAATAACTAGTAAATCAGTTGTATAGATTCGAAAAATCCAAATCAACAGTGTACACTTCTAATTTTCAAAACTAAACTTTGTAGATTTTTTTTACACATTTTCACAGCTATTTGCTTAATGTTTGTTTTGAATAGGGAAAACACATTTGTTTTATAAAGCAATGAAGTATTTTCTGGAAAATATTCTACATGATACATTCTAAGGCTCCAAAGGTACTTTTCTTAGGCAACCTGTACTTATACACTATGAAAGGACATATTACTTTACATTTCTTTTTGCTCTATCAAGTAGGCGGCCTTTTTCTTCTGCAATGTTATGGCACTGAGCTGTAATTAAACACAAACAAGGATTACTTTCTTTTTTCACTGGTCCTTTTAAACAAATAAGATGACAGTACAACCTGAAATAACCTACAGAAATTATTTTCTTCATATATATATATTTCTAATATATATATATATTTCTCATCCATCATTATTACAAACATACTAAATGTTCTCTGACCTGCAAATTCATTACTAGCTTATTTAGAGCTTCTATCTATGTGAGAGGAGGGAATTACTTTCTGAGTAAAGTAAGAGCTTACAGATATAAGTGGATTCCAATTTCTATCAGCTACAGTGATTAGGCCTGTTAAAGGTCCAACTTCTGAATGACAGAAGTCTCCAGTTGTAAGATACTAGTGTCTTATATTTTACTTACCAAATTACCTTTCAAGCCAATGGATTTGAAAGAATAGTTGTGTTAATTCTATTTTCACATATAATTTGCAACTAAACTAATTTTATGTTAGTTCTTGAAACCTATTCAGAGCTTCTAGACAGACGTTTCCTTTTAGTATACCTGCTAGTTCTGTATTTAAAATGTTTTGCCTTTATTTCCATATAACAGAAAACTAATATAAAAAAGAGAAAGCAATGCAAGTACAAAAGTATATATATAAGGCCTTATCATGCATATATACAATTACATACAATGTATGCACTGATTTTAACTGTAACCATTATTATATAAAATATATTTCTCTTTTTTTAAAACAAAGACTGAACACTGTTCATTTAACTGGACCAGTTTAATTTAGATACCTCTTGAGATGCTGTAGTTGCCCTCTCTTCTGCCTGATTTAGTCGACTTTGAAGTCGGTTGACTTTTTCTTGATATTCCCTCATTAATTTTTCACTCTGTTTAAATAAAATCATTTATTACAAATGTAAAATTTGCAAAAGAAATTGCAAGTAGACTTGGAAAAATTAAAAAAACAATTGCTAAAGAACAATATAAAATCACAGACAGACTAAACATGCTGCTCCATGTAGTATCAAGTCAGTTTGGTTGCTACTGAAGCCTTACAATAAAGAAGATTTTGCCCATTTTGTTATTTTTCCTGTTTGGTCTGCTTGGGAGATTGACATAAAAACTATTACCTTCTGATTGAAAAATGTTCAATTGCAATCTATTTCAGTTCACTAATGTCTAAGACATTTATATGGTTTTCTTAATAAATATACTAAGAAATGATGCCTTTGATGTTGTCACTAAAATGATCACATGCTCCAGCATTTTTCTCTATTGCTGCTGAATACAGATGCCTGCTGGCTTTTGCTAAGATGAGCTTCACTACTTGGGAACCCTGATAGGATTATAATCACTTGGCAGAAACACCCCTCCATTACCAGGAGGCAGCACAGAAGGATTTAGGAGGTGTTTGTTTATAAGGTAGTTTTATTTTTATCAGTATAAAGAATTAACTTTTATTTTTTTTAACCAGATGGTTAAGATAATGATTACAATGTCTGTGTAACCGCAGAAACAAATGAACATTTAAATGAAAAGTAAAATTTACATTTCTGTATAATTGCAGAACAATGAAATACAACAGGATGAAAGGATAAGTATTAGTAAAAAAAATATTCATCCAGGATATGCAATTCACTATATTTAATGTATAAACAGCAGTAAAATTACTAGCCATTTTAAACATTTTCCCAATGTGTGAGATTTGAAAAAGCATGTGTGTCTCTAGGTCAGAACAGCTCCAATCAAAATGACAGTGATATTCAAATAGAACTGTCCTTATAGCTGAAGCATAACATTTGGATCATTTTAATGATATTACCTCAATAACCTTTTCATTTGCTCTTTCCAGTTGATAAACTAAATCTTGGGTGTGAAGCTTTTGACGACTCAGCTCAGTTCTGTCACATAAGATCAAACAAACTCATTAATGAAAATCAGTGAACTTGTGGAGCCATTTGTAGTAACTATACTTTCCAGAAGAACTTGGGGAAATAAAGTTCTTTTCCACTCTTCCTGAACAATGGATGATATGGAGAGGATTAATCTGATCTCATATGACATACAAAACATATTCCAGATGTTTTTCTTATGAAATGCTTCATTTATTTAGTTACACTATTCAGTTATGGTAAAGTATTCTGGATTAAGGAACAGCTGAAGTCAACCAGTTCTATCATATTCTTTACTCTTTTTCTAAAATCATCCTTGCTATAATTATTGCTTCTATGTCCCGTTTGTTTCACCAATTGTGTTTTTTTTCTTACAGTAGTATGCTATGACAGTATTATATAATGGTGGGAAATCATCTGCTCAATTGGCTTTCATTTGGCTTATGGGAGCCCATTCCCTCTCCACCACCCATTCCACTCGTTTGGAACAGAAAGAATAAATAAATAAAATTCTGAAAAGATTTAACAATCCTCCATATTTCACATAGGTTCTCCATTTAACCAAGACTTGAAGAATCAAGACAGACCAATAATGAAATTTCCTTACCTATATAAGCCTTACCCAATATTTTATAATTTGCAGTTTCCAACTAAAAAATTTCAAAACGTCCTTAATAATGCATACAAAACTATGACTCGTGTGTGTGTGGATTTCTATCCCAATGTTAATTAATATGAAAGTAGGCTAGAATTAACCTGAATTTCAAAAACTGAACAAAAAATAAAATATAGATTGTATAACAGAAAAGTAGAAGAAATAATATATAAGCTAGTGAGATTTAATGCAAATTCTCATATGACGTACAAAGCATATTCCAGATGTTTTCTTTACGAAATGCTTCATTTATTCAGTTACGCTATTCAGTTATGTATAGTAATTATATATTTTGTAGATCTTCAATATCTGCAGCTGTTTCTTATCCTGTTAACATTCTTAAATAACTTAAAATAAATGGTACAATTGGGTGTTACATAATTTCAGTTAAACAAATACGTTAAGAATAAAGGAATCAGAAGTCCACTAATACAATGCAATTTATTTAAGTATATGAACAACATTGTTTCAGGTCATACCTAATAAATTGTTTTACTATTCCATAAATATTTTATAGAATAGAAAAATTAGTAATACAAAGGCTCAGGCTGATTTTAAAATAAGATTATTTCAACTTATGATTGATTTACTGTATTCAAAATACTAATTAAAGTTAGTCAAATGGATATGAGGGAGCTTGTGTGTCAACAGCATTAAGCAGTAATTCTGAATATATGGATTTTTGTTTTTGAAAAAGCTTCCAGTTAAATGAACTGTTCACTTAACTTACCATTTATTTCTATGGTCAACTGATGGTCCCTAAAATCAGTGTTTTTATAATTGTTAAGTTCAGGAATAAGCAAACTTGTTTGTATAAACTACAGACATGCTGACATTAAAGGTATCTGAGTCTTTGAAAGGCAAGGTGGAAGCTTTAAAGTAACTGATTGCATTTATATTCAGCATTTATAACCTGCTTTCTACCCAATGAGCTTATAGAGTGGTTCTCAGCACAATCATTACTGAAATAAAATATTTTAATAAATTTAAAGCACAGAGGTTACCTTTCAGCATTAGGAGAACGCATAATTAGAATACACTGAATCAGCATTACTGAAATCTGAGCAACCTAAGACACTTCAAGGAGTTCTCTTGGAGATTTAATACTGTAATGCTGCAGCACACAGTTCATTTAGTGACTGTTCAAAGTTACAAGAGCACTGAAAAAAAGTGACATAACCATTTTTCACACTTATGACCACTGCAGCGATGCCAAGAACATATAATCAAAATTCAGCTGCTTGGCATCTGACTCATATTTATGACAGTCACAGTGTCTCAGGGTCATGTGATCAACTTTTGCGATCTTCTGACAAGCAGAGTCAAGGAGAAAGCCAGATTCATTTAACAATTGTGTGATTAACTTAACAACTGTACTGATTCACTTAACTGTGGCAAGAAAGGTTGTAAAATGGGGCAAAATTCACTTAACAAATGTTTCACATAACAACAAAAATATTAGGTTCAATTGTGGTCGTAAGTCGAGTACTACCCAAACCTCCTTCCCGAAAGCAACACTTCAACTCTGCCTCCTGAGGTAGGATCTAACAGTTATTTGGGTGGTTGTTTTTTCCCCCCCAAGTAATACCATTTATCTTCCAGGTTTGGAAGACAGCAGACAATGAGTACCTGATGATGTTATGGAGCCAACATTTTTCGCTTTTTCTTTTTTTGTAAACAATCTACACATAATGTCTAGATCAGGGATTTCAAACTGGCAGCCCATGAGCAGGATGCATCATGCGCAGGCCACGCCTACCCCAGCTCCACAAAGGGGGAAATAGTCACAAAATGTCATGTGACAGCAACATAACACCACAAGTTTGACAACCCTGGTCAAGATTATTTAGAAATGTCAAAGGAAAAAAAACTCTTACTTTAGACTATTTATTCTGGATTCAGTTATTTCTGTTATTTTCTTTGTTTCTTCCTTCCAGCGATTTGTTGCTTTTTGTTGAGCCATCAACAGGCGTCTAAGCTCAGTTACTGAGTTTTGACTTACATCTTCCATCTCTTTCAGTCGAATTTCAAACCCATGTTCTTTTAATAAAAGTTCGTTCTCCATTGTACTTATCTGTTAGAAAAAATAAGTGTCTTATACTGAAAAAAATTCTTATTCTTTAAAAGTTAAAACTAACATCTGTCAACATTTGAAAGCTAAATTTCTTAGCATATTTATCAATAAAGAATTATTGGATGTTTAATTATGGAAATTAATGTAAAATGAAACAATTCATTTCAGATACATTTTTCACCATGTTCTTTTCTTATGCCAAGCAGTTAATAACCTCCTTTAGTATGCTTCAATTTAAATACATTTAATTCCACTGGAGAAATATCATTGGACCTGGTCATCCATAGAAAGTAATAAGGGTTTGTAGATGAGTTTATCTTTAATCTTTTACTGTACTCATTTTTATCTGAAACTCCAGTTTATCTTTGTAACATTTACTCTTGCATCTTTATCCTAAAAGGCCTTATGATTTCAACCAACTATTATCTATTATTGAAGTATGAATTATGTGAAAACCTAAACTACAAAAGAAAGGGATACAACTGTTTACAGAACAAAAGACAAGCATGTGAACAATTGGGGTACTAAAATAGATTATAAAAGAATATTTAAAAATAATATAAAACATAACAAAATCAAGAAGAAAACCAAGGGAAAAAGATAGAAAGGAGAAAAGCAATCTATCATATAAATGTCTGAATCATAAAGCTGTCTATTAATAATGCTTCTTTTCCCTTGGAGCAATGTCAATAGTGAGAGAAGATGACAAGGAAATGGCAGGTAGCAGGAAGAAAATGGAAATGCTTTCCTAGACAAGTTCAAATCACCAGGACCAGTTGGATTACATTCCAGAGTTCTGAGAAAGCTGGCAGATATGATCTCAGAACCACTGAAACATGTCTTTCAAAGATCCTGGAAAGCCAGGGAACTACTATAAGACTGGAAAAGAGCTGATTCCCATCTTTGAAAAAGGGAAAAAATGGATCCAGGAAACTACAGACCAATCGGTCCAGCATCAATACCTGGGAAGATCCTGAAAAATATAATCAAGCAATGGATCTAAAAACTTCTAGAAGCATGCAAAGCTATTGCTAGAAGCCAACATGGACTTGTCAAAAACAGATAATGCCAAACAAATATTATTGCATTCTTTGTCAAAATGACTGATATCATTGTAAGTCAACTTGAATTCATTTTTTAAAAGAGGTTGTGAGCTAATACTGTCTTGTTCCTTGCAGATTCAAATCCAAACAACTTGCATTAATTCTGAAGTATTATATAAAAAACAATACCTTTAATTTTGCAGTATGTTGTGCCTCCATTGTGAGCTTTTTCAAGTTTTCCATTTCTTTTTGAAGTTGTTCATTCCCTTGTTGCAGTTTTAAGCGCTCTTCACTTATAGCTCCACATTTCTCCCTTTCAGAATCCAAAATACTTTGCAGCTTGCACATATTTTCTTGGCAACGGCATCTCTCTTCTTCATATCTTAAAGTAAATTACACTTTGTACGGTCAATTTAAAACATGACTTGAAAACACACTTTATTTCCTTTTTTTACACATAGAATCAGAAATATTTTAAGTAACCCTCATCAATGTATTTAATGTGTGCCTATGCTACTATAGTCCAATACAAGTTGCATAGTTACTTTAGAGATTTAAAAGAGGACAGCATATATTAATAAAACTGTAAAAATATGTTTCTGCTTGTTTCTAAATTCAATTTATTTGTATTTCAATTACAGTTTATTATTTTCTGAGGGAAATTTTACCTTAAACTTTAACAAACAGAAGTAAACCATTTCCATTATACAAAAATTTGTAATAATTACATATCTGCAAATTTTAAAAGCAAAATTCCAATACAAATGCAAGAATATAAAACTCTCTGGTAAAAAATCTCCAGAGGAAAAAAAAAAGAAATAAAATGGATATGAGTTTGCAGCATATGTTAATTACTTACTTCAGTTCCAGTTGCTTAATTTTGTTTTGTGCTGTTTGCAAACTAAGATGAAGGTCATCTTTTGTACGTTCGGCATTCAAACATCTCTGGTAAAGCTCTTCTAGTTTTCTATAATCAGCTTCATTTCCTCTACCTTCACAGTACACCTGATAGATTAATATAAACCAGGATATGATTCCAATGTTCCAGTAAAATCCCTGCTTTCACGAATCAATTACTGTGCAAAACTTAGAAAGTGGATAATCATTTCATTATGACTATCACATCTGAAGAAAAATTCCATTATTGTCCACCAGACAAACATTCTACAAGTAGATCTTGAGTTATGACAGTAACTGGGATCAGAATTTCTGTCACTAAACAATGCGTTTGTAAAATTCAGTGTAATATAATTACTTTGCTTAGTAATGGCAATCTCTGCAGTCCCCATTGCCGCTGTTAAATGAGATTTGGGAGTCATTCAGTTAGCATCTGTTTATAACTTCCTATCAGCTTCCAACAAACAAAATCAGCAGGGAGATAAATGGCTGCTATAAGATGGGAAAGGAAGCAAAGGGTGTGTGGGTTTTAGGAAGGCACAGTAAAAGTGGCAGGGCTCAGGATAATTGTTGGCAGGCAAGTGTACAGGTGGCAGGTAAGGACTAGTGTGAACGTGAGACTAGGAAGGGTGAGCAGGTAAGAATACAGTGCAAGTGCAGCACAGCTTGGGATGGTTGCTGCTGGGGATGGAGGAAATGCAATGGTGCACAAGTGGCCAAGGATGCATGAGTGGCAAAGAGGCACAAGTGCAAGGATTGTGAAAAATGAGTGGCTGATGGGGAGGTATGGTACATTCCAGAAAGACTTGGGATGGCTGGAGCCAAGCGGAAGAGGGTGCACAAGTGTGGGAAGGTGTGCTGCAAGTTCAGCAAGGCCCGGGGAGAGTACAGCAGGGTGTGTAAGTAGTGGGAGAGACACAGCCTGAGGGCACAAGGAAGGTGGTGTGGATGGTGGGGTGGCAACACACATATGTGGCTTAAGGTGGCTAATGCTGGGTGGAAGAAGGTGCGAAAGTGGTGGGGGATATGACCCAAGCTCAGCAAAGCTTGGGGAAGATGCACAGGTGGTGAAAGTGTGACTGAGCCAGGGAGGTGAAATGAAGCATGAGTGCAGAGGAGTGCCACAGGATGCTTCAAGCTTCATATGTATGAGCTAGTTGCCAAACATCCACATTGCACTCGTGTGACTGTGGATGGGCTGGCCAAAACTTTGAAGACCGGTTGTAACCCTCATTTGTTTAATACTGTCACAACTTTGGTTGCTAGAAGGAGGACTTCAGTTGTTAAAAAACAACACCACCTATACTGTTTAATCAGTTTTTCCACTGACAGTTTGTATTGTGTTCATTATCTTATTATTAGTATAATTGCTTTTAATTAATATTGTTACAATATGGGAACTGATTATCTGCTTTTTTCACAGATCTTCCGCTCTTAGTTCATTTTTACTGATTTAAGTGAGTTTGATTAAGTGAGTTTTAGTCATTCTAGCTTGCACAGAATTTTCATGAGTTTCATGAATCACAGGCAATTTGTTTTTCTTTCAGGTCGTTATTTGGTTAAAAAATCCTGAACAGCATTTCATGCCATTAACAATGCCAAGTGCTCTTTTCATGACAGCATATTTTTATTTGTATCTATAGAAGAATGCTTTGATCCTTTCTAGTCTGTCTCATATGATCAAGGCTAATATTTTTATATCCTAAAATTACTTACTTTTTAGCATGTACATTATATCATTAATGCATGAAAATGGTGGAAAAGAAAAAGTGTTTACTTTCTCTAGTTCTTCTTCAACTGCTCTTTTTTCTCTAATGGCTCGCTCTAGTTCGCTTTGCTTTTCTCCACATTCCTATAAAGCAGTAACAGAATATGAATTTTTAAAAAATTAATAAGTGACATATAACTGTATATGTATATGGCAAACAAAATTGGGATAAACAATGAATCCTGTCAAGTATTAATATGCATTTAATTTTTGACCTATGAAATTGCTAAACATTCCATTCACTTTAAACTTCCTTTACCTTTCAGTTACTTTTAACCTGTTTCTAGGTTAAGAAAGATCTGCAGTGAAATAATACAAGATTAATTAGGTGATTTTGTAATTTTTTCAAGTTATATTTCAGAGTAATTTTGTTCAAATCACATGTTCAGCAAGAAGGATTTAGACCTCTTCCCCACCTCCAATATCAATTCCTAAAAATAAAGTCTGGAACCATAACGTATCTCTATTTCCCTTTTAAAAAAGGGATAAAGGTATGCTATATATGCTATTTGAACAAAACATTTGTGATCTATATGTTTTCTTACAAATAATCACAAAGCTTGATGCTATGTTTATTTTATCCAGAAATTTAACAAGTAAGGTATATTATCTTGTATTGTATCTGCTGTTCCAAATAGTAGCATCCCACCTGAAAAAGTATTTTTATCATTACATTTAATGAAAAGGTGAATGGTTAGACATGGAAAAAATTTGCTTGCACAAACTAAAGTAGTGAAACTGTTCCTTTGTGGTGCTAAATTTTTTAATGCTTATTTTTCCTAAGTGAAAGTCAACATAGGGGCAAAATATCAGAATGTAAACTTATATTTATTTGTTGAATTGATTTGCTGCCTATCTCACCTTGAGGCTACTTTAGGCAGTAAGCAACTTAAGCGAAATGTACAACTTACCATCTGAAGTGTAGTAAGTTCTTCTGTTAAACGTGAAATTTGAATATTGTATCGTTTCCTTTCGTTTTCTACCTATTTTTTTAAAAAAGGGGTATTATTCCGTGTCTAGTGGATGTTTTCTTACTTGATTATATAATACATTTTTAAGAGTACAAGAGGCTGCAATATGCTAAACAGAAATATACTAATTATCAATAGAGCTTTCTACATACATTCCAGAACTAAGCAATGTCCAGATATAGGTGTTCATAACTGGAAGGGCACAAGCATGCTCCATCTCTCTTCCAAACAGCTCCTCCAACCCATTGAACCTGCTACTCAGGGCATTGGAAAGACCTGATGAAGATTTAGGGGCATCCCAGAAAATCAGACATAGTGGCTGCAGTGAACTGGGATTTTTAGTTTTTTTACTCTGCCCAATGCAAGTCTCTTGGGGGGGATTTGAAGGAGAATGTGTCCAACAGTACTGGTTTTTGCCAGCTGAATTACATGGACTGTAATATCCAAAGTTTATTGGAAGAAATGATTTTTTTTTCTCCCAATAACCAAGGTCCACTCACAAAATTACCTGAATTATCTAAAGGCAAAAAAAGTTGCATACTTCAACTGAGGTAACTTTCAAATATTTAGCTTTTAGAGTAACAGTATCAATATTATTAATATAATTTACAAGAACAAAGTGTGTAAGAAAATATGAAAAAGTTTTAAGCATCACTGCTTACTTCTTTCCTTGTTCTTAAAGCAGCATCTTGAAGCAGCTGAGAAACAGCGTGTTTCATATTTTCAATTTCCTCTTCTTTTTGTTTCTCTGATAGCATTGCCTAGAATTGGAAAGAATGGGCATATTCTAGTAAAAACTTCCTACTGAAGATAGGTCAAGCCATAACCCTAAAGATACAGCTATTGGTATTTAATAGAAAACAGATTAAAAAGTTCAAAGCACAGTTGTCCCATAAGCATATATAATAAATCCATCACCTGATTCTTCTGAAGATTAGCTTCTTCTATGAGTTGCACGCTGTCTCGGACTTTTGCTACAGCATCATACTTCTCTTCTTCTATATTCATACACTTTGCTTGCAGCTCCTGAATTTTTTCTTCAAGATTTGTTCTTTCTGATCTTAGCTGTTTGGAATCTTTTGTAGCTATACAAAGTCTGTATAGTGGAACAGTGACCAATTGACTGTTAAATTTAGGTTAAGATTAAGTTTAGGTAAGACTACAATTAAAATAGTTGTCCTCCTATCTTTCAAGACCTGATAAGATTAAATTACGTCTCTTTTCTACTATGGTGAAATCAAATCATCTTGGGGCAGCACCTTTTTGCAGCATTTTTCAAGTAGTTTTCACTGTTATCGTAATAGTGAAATTTCAGATATCCAGAAATAGGAAAACTTGACAAACCAGACCCCTCAATGAGTCTCATCATTCCATCAGCTTTTGCAACTGTTGTTCTCAAGTCCAATTTGGATTGTCTGCATATTAAAAAGATAAACTTCTCTAAATATGAAATATACCAACTACACAAATATGGTGTTTTTACATTACCATTCCATGTTCAATCTCAAGAAAATAATAGCAACCTTTAATTTTGATCATTTTATTATTCTCTCTATTAACCTTGTAATATTTATTGCTTTGTAAATATTTCTAAATTAGAAAAGAGTTTCTTAAATTTTGAGGTTACATTTTTCAAGAAGAGTCTGAAATCTAGGCTAAACCTTAAACATATTTTTGGCTGGATGAATCCAAGTTGACATATTTGTTATTGAAAAAACCCCAAGGCAGCTCTCAAACTCCAACCAATTTTGCAGTCATTTTTGACGGTAAGCCAATAGTGGACTTAATGTTTATTCTTGAGGGCCACAAAAATAATAATCAACTAAAATTCATTGGATGAAAGAAATTAACTAGTTAAATATTTTCTGTACAAGTATGTTCTGAAATAGGATTATAGTGTTAAAGTGGAAGTTATTATTTAATAAATTACCTTGTCTCCAATTGTTTTATGCTTGACTGCAATTCTTGCAAGCGTTTATCTGATGCCTCTTCTTTTTTACGAGCAGCTAGGACCTCTTTTTCCTAAACACCAAAAAAACAGAGCTTTTTTACAACTTTATGTCCAGCAGAAACAGAGTCCAACAATATAAACTTTTATTTTGAAAGTTGAGAAAGGATCTGTTCAACCTTTCTGTTTAACTGACTGCGAAGTTCCTCAACAAGTCTCATCATTTCATCAGCTTTTGCAATTGTTGTTCTCAAGTCCAATTTGGATTGTCTGCATGTTAAAAAGGTAAATTTCTATAAATAATACTCTGACTACACAAATCTTATGTTTTTACATTACCATTTCATGTTCAATCTCAAGGGGGAAAAACTGCAAACAAATAAAATTACGCTCTTGCTCAACAAATTATTGCACCAGAAAAACTCACAAGTTGGTCTATTTTAATATCTCTTTGTGATCATATTTTACAGCATTTACAGTTCATTTCTCAAAAGATCTATTCATCAGTGTGTGATAAACATGACATTTTGGCGTGGGTAGATATGCTAGCCCATATACAGTATATGTAGTAACAGCACACATTTATTACAGTGGAAAGGCTTTCTTCATTATCTACTGAAGTTCTAACAGAGGTCAGCATTTGTTCACAATATTACATCTCCACAGATAGCTATAAACTTCTACCTGATGATGTGAATAAGCCATAAAATACTTTTGAAAAGCCTTGTTGCACAGGTAGGACTATTATCTGTGTGCTTTGTTTTTTTTTAAAGTGATTTAAGATTTAGAAGTCTATACCTTTGTTGCTTGCGCAGCTGTTCCAGCTCTACATTTTGTTCTGTTACCGTTTTCAGAAATACCTGATTAATCTGTAAAAAAATTGTTTTAAATATATTGTATCACTGTTAAAATAAAATTTAAAAAACATGAAAGCCAATAGGCTAGTATGGTTAAGATGCTGGGCTAGGAATGCAGAGACCCAGGGTCTAGTACACTCTGAAGCATTTAAGGAGGGATTGTCTACCAACATTGCTTGCTTCCTACCTGCTAGTCCTGCAGAGCAGAGCAATTTCAAAAGAATAAGCAGTTTGCTCTTCTACCTGTTGAGAGCAATGCAGTCATGCAAATAGCAGGAAAGGTTAGGGCAAAGGAGAAATTGCCTACAGAACAGAAATAGCTTGCATTTTTCCCTACTGTCCTTGCAGACCAAAATGACTGGAGAGCAACAGAGGGCTGACGTGTGATCACATTGCTTTTGATGTGTACAAGACAGTAAGCAGGTACTTGAATGTCCCAAAGAATGGTTAGGAGGGAAACAAAAGCCTAAGATATGAAACTAATCTTATCCCTTTACAGTGGAAAACACACGGTCATATAATTTCACATTAACAACCACTTTGCTTAGCAATCGAGTTGCCAGTCCCAATTAAAATTGTTAAGCAAGATTACCTTACTTTGCTTAGCAGCAACACAAAATCTCTCTTTCAACTAACCATGATTATAATAAAATTCACAGATATATAGATATTCTCTATCATTTCTGCCTTTAAAAAGGTTCTCATTTCAACTTCATTTGCTTCTAAGTCATGTACTTAAAAGCAGAAACAAATAGAGGAAGAAAGAAAATATTTTAAACTAATACTGAACAGTCAAAGAAATAAGCAATAAAACTTAGTAATCATGGTCTGTGCAGATAAAACCTTGATTTTTCATGAAAAGCACATTTTCCTAAGTAGCAATTAAACTGGAACAGATTAAAAATACACTATAAGCCACTATGTAACTCATAAACATGTAAGTAAAAAAAGTTAAAACATAGCTTTATGAAAAGTTATATCTGTTTAGAAAGTGTATTTTCTTTTATATTTTTCTGCTGTTATGACTAGCCCAAATTAATAGTTAGAATTTCATTATTTCACTTACTGACTCAGTTTTTTCCTTAGTTAAATGCAGTTGTTTTGTTATCTGTTGAAAGCTTGTCAATTGATCCTAGAAAGAAGATAATACAGTGCATTGGAATTACAATCCAGAAGATTTATCAACATAAAAATAAACACTAAAATATATGAAATATTTAGGTATTAAATACTTAATTTAAGTAATAAAGTATAACCGTATTAGTGGCTGTGGTCCATATTTGAGAATCATTCAATTTATTTTTGAAAAAAATCATGTAACAGCTTAAAGCAGGAATGATCTAAATTATTCATTTTTCTAAGTTTGTGTTTCTGTGCATATCTGCATGTCTGAGACTTGATAGAATACCTTCATATTAAATACTGTGATAAAGCACAATATATTTCTGCAACAAGATTCAGAAGTTTTCAAGTGAATGAAGCATACTTATTGAATACAGTATACTTCTAAATTGAAGAAATTACTCACAGATAATCCTATAGCAAGTCTTTTTAAAATCCACAAGACTTCAAAATCAAGCAAACAATGTCCTTTTTCTAAACATGCAGTCAGGTTTCAAATCTTTGGAAGTCATTGGGGAGCTGGTCCCAGGGACTAACATAAAGTGAGAGATCATTTTTGCACAATGATTTTCCAAATGCACCTTTTGAGCATTACATTCCTTTCCTAAAAGCAAGCAGTGCAGTGTTTAGACTGCAGTACTGCAGGCTATTTCTGCTTACTTCTGGCTGCCAGGAGTTCAGCAGTTTGAACTCATTGGCTCAAGGCTGACTCAGTCTTCCCTCCTTCGGAAATTGGTAAAATGAGGACCTCAGATTGTTGGGACAATATGCTGACTCTGTAGACAGTTTAGAGGGGGCTGTAAAGCACTGTGAAGCAGTATATAAGTGCTATTGCTAAAAACAAAATGAAAAAGACAGTCCCCCTCTGCCACCTCACATATAGTCTGAAAAGTTCAGCTCTGTTCTCTGGTATGCCCCCCACCTCCATATATCACCCATCTATGACTTGCTCAAAGATCATCTAAAAAGCTCTTTTATGAAAAAGCTGGCTATGTTGAGCCAATGGGAAAAATTGTCTTCATCTTAATTTATTTTAATGCACGTGTATCAGTATGTTACTTTTTGCTTCTGCCTTTCCACAATATGAATTTGTGCTTCTGTCATGTGTTCTTGGTATATCTGTTGAAGTCGCTCCAATTCCTGTGAAACCATTTGCCAAAGTTCTAGAACATGTTCTTTTTCCTTAAAATTGAAAGATTGAAAAAAGAATGTTAGAATTTTTCTTTCCATTTTTTTTTGAGTATCAAATGTCTGAAAAGACTTCATATCTATTATGATGTATAAATTTTAACATCATTTTATGATGAGATAAATAATACTCTATTTCCTATATAGTTTATATTATAGAAGCATAATTACCTGAGAGAAATTATGAACATCTCTGTGCCTATTAATTAATGACAACAAAATAGTCTGCTAATATTAGTGTGTTATCTTCCTTTCTTGTTGTCATATATTCAAAATGTCTATTTAATATCAGTTTATATCTATGTCTTGACAAAAATAAACACTAATATTAAAATAATAAACTACAATTTTCAGCTATAATAAAAATGTGTCATAAATGAACATGCCTACATTGAAAGGCAATTTAGGACTACTGGAACCTAGACATAAAAATAAACCGAAGCAAATATTTCAATTTTCTCACTTTATTTGCTAGTTGCAACTGTTCTTGAAGGTTTCTTATTACGTTTTCATCCATAAATGTAGCATCCCTTGAAACAGAACCAGATGGCAGAGCTTCCAACTGCTTTTCAATTGCTTCTTTTAACTCCTCATGCAATCTGTGTTACCATACAATAAGAGGTGGATCACTTTATTGTAAAACAGCAATAAAATTGTATTTTTATTAAGAATGGTTCTTCTGTCAGACAGTTAACAATTGCACCTCCAGAAAAAAACATTTTAGTTATTTCCAACCCCAGTCCCAGGGTATCTGTATTTATTGCACTGAAAGGATAAGACAAAATACACGATTATTTCTATCAGCAGTTTCTTTCTATATGACACAAAAAATACAGAATTAGTATGATTTTTATGGGGTTACCTTTCATTTTCTTTGATGACTTGCTCAAGTTTTATCCTCATTTCTTTCATCTGCGTCTAAAAGCAAAAAAAACAGGAGATTAAATATTTCTTTCTGAAGATACAATAGAACACATGCAATACATATTCAGTATGATACTAAGATGCTTGAATGTCAATTAAAAACGTTGCCTTTTCTAGTTTATGAAACAAGATGTCTCAAATTAGAAAGATAAACATATTTTTGAATTATTAACAGTGACTATTATTTTATTAGCTATGATTCTGTGATTTTTTTTAAAAAATAAACATCTTACCAATAATATTTGAATTATAAACATTATGGTTGTTTTTTAAAATTACTTAGCAAGCTATATTAGTGGTAAAAATAGCTTTAACTTTGTACCTGGCAGTATTTCAGTTGTTCATTCATTTCCCCAAGATGTTTATCGTATTCAGCAACTATAGGAGGTAATAAGCTAAGAGGGATGTAAAATAAAGTTTGCATATTGAGTGACATAATGCAAATGAAAAGTAAAAAAATATCAACATAAAAAAATGAATCATTATTAAGGACAAGCACAATAATCCCAAACACGCTGTATATATGAATACTTTTCAAACAATTAGTCTTGGTTACTTATATGTTACATTTTTATCCTGCTTTTCTTCTAGAAGCTCAAAGGGCATACACAGTACTCAATACTCCATTTTTTATTAACAGTAACATTCCTGAGTGCCATCCAAAGGGTTTCCAAGGCTGAAGACAAATTTGAACCAGACTCTTCCTGATCCTAATCCAGCATACACATTTTAAAGTCATTAGACAATTCCTGTAATTTTCCCACTTAGATGTGGATTTTTTAAAGTACCAGATAGTCCAAAATTATCTTGGACATTCTGAAACTGAAGTCAACTTCTTTAAAGGCTTAATTCTGAAGAAGTAGGATCTCTTGTCCTATATGGATTCCCAAGAATATAAGTAGATGGTTTTTTTCTCTGCTCAGATGATGGCAACTTACCTTAAATACCTCAGGCTGAACACTTTCACTTTGGAATAAATTTATACCGGACATCTCAGAACTCAGCTACATTGGATAGAAAACTAGAAACTCCAAAATAAATTTGACATACCTGTGTTGTAAAAGTGATCCTACTACTATCTTCATTTATAAAATACAAGGGATTACAAACAAGCGAACAATAATAATTTCATTTGAAGTTATGGATCAACAATGTTTTAATGTAAACAACCCAGGATTCTTAACAATTAATTATTGTAAAAGTTAAATATAATTGTAAACAGGTGAAAATGATTAAATTCCTTTTCTTCTTGCAGCAGTTAAAAAGAAATTTTATATAAGGTAATTTTTTTCCTTTCAGTTTACGGAGATAGAGGGAACACAAACTGATTTTATGAAGTTTTCTAGTAGAACCTTTACCTCCTACAAAGTGACAGCTTTTATATATTTTAAAAAAATCAAACTCAATGCCAGTTATGCTAATATTTTTAAGACATGAAAGGAAGGAATAGATCAAACTGTCAAGCTCTGATGTTACAAAACATTAGCTTGTAGTTTCTCACTGTTAAGGCATGGAATGCTTGTGGAATTATTTTCCAGATAAAAGGGTCAGGTTCAAACATGATTAAAGTATTGGCAAAATATTTAGAGGTCATGGAGAGTTTTGATGAATTGGTTTATGATTGACTTAAGAGCCACTGAAATGAATACATTAACTTTAAATTCCATTAATTTCAGCAGATCAACTTTCTGTATGGTTACATTTGGATACAGTTCACGGAAGCTTTCTTTTTTCTTAATCACAAATCTAATTCCTCTACCCTGAGTACAGTGTATTTGTTTAAATTATGTGTACACATAGTTTTTACATATACATATACATGTGAACAAGATCAAGATAAAAAAGTAATAGATACTTCACTTGTTCAATTCTAGGTATCAACACATCCTTTTATAAGGTATTTTGAAATTGCATTTTATATATTATTTAGAATGCAAAATAAATAGCTTTACCTTTGATCTATCAGGATGTGCTCTGTTATACTGGCATCTTCAAACTCATTATTCTGGAAACAAACATTTAATTTTATTAAAGTTTATCTTTTGTCATAAAAATATTTTTAAAACCCCTAAAATTTAATTCTATAGATCTTCATATTTAAATCAAAGTATTCCCAATGTATTCTCTTGTAGAATACATTGGCACCCTAAAATTTAATCAATAAATAAAAATAAAAAATAAAATTCCATATAGATTCAAATTGAATTCAAAGAGCAAAATCTTAGCTTTTGTATCTTATTTTTTTCACATTTATATTTTATTTCAGTTCTTTGATGATCTGCAGAAACTCAAAATACCTATGACTTTAATAGAATAGAGACTTTTGCCAACTGTATTACCTTACCTTAGCTGTAGTGGTAGTGGCCAAATGTAACTGCTATAGATTTATTTAATAAAAATAAATAAATAAATGTATTCAGGCACATTACATAAACAAGCTGCTTTATAAAATGTTCTCTTTAAAAAAAATGAAAATATAAGAATCTTGTAATAGTGGGTAAGCAAATTCAACTAAATGATTTGCATGGTCCTTTATGTGATGCTTAGCATAGGTTAAACAGTACAACAAAAATGGAATATAGAAATCATGAAAGATATGAAAAAAATGTATACCAATTTACTATATAGTCTAATCATACCCTTTACAGCCTCCATCAAATTAATGCATAAAAAGAGATAATGTCCAGCCAAAAATAAAGGTTGACGAACACTGATACCTAAATTATATAATACAAATGCATTTTAATGAAATTTTACATGGAACTTACCTTGACATCTGTTGCCATTTTAGAATCTTATCAGAATTTCATATAACGTTTCTAGGAAGCTGATTTGCTTTTCAGTACCAGAAACACAAAATCTATGAAATAAAATAAATATAACTGGCAAACACAGCTTATAATTGCTTGGAACTGTATCTTCTAAATCTAAATTCTTAGGGAGAAATACAAAGTAACCTGAACAGCTTCCACAAAGCCTGCAACAATGCTGTTAAACTTCAGAGTTGTAATCTTGATGCTATCAATGTCATCCATAAAAAAATCAATTTTGACATATTTTACAGGAAAAGCTATTATTTATTCTTATAATGTTGTGTTTTTATCTTTAGATAGAAAAATTAAGATCAAACATAATGAAAAAAAATAGAATGTAAAGAAAATTGTTATTAGTTGAATATTTTCATCATTTATATCTTAATAAAATACTCAGACAAGATTAGAGAGATAATGATCTATCCCTTAATTTTCAAAATGCTTAAAATCCTTCTATTTACGTACTATTTACATAATCCTTCTATTTCTTAATGTAAAGTGTATTTCTTGTTAGCGTACTTCTTAGTGTAAAAAGTGTATTTCTTGTTAGTGTATTTTTTAGCATAAAATCTTACTGTAAAGTTGTAGTGAAATGTCCTCATTGTACTGTCTCCCCTCCAATTATTTAATGTTTTGCTTGATCTTTGAAATCCAGTATTTCTTCTCCATCTTTGTAATACCTTTTTTGAGAGAAAGAACTTGGGATGCTCCAATTGATCAGAGATTACCCTTCCTGGAAAGCCTAACAGGTAAGACTGACCTAGCAAAATTGACCCGTCCAAGCTCCTCCAACAATGCTTGGATTTTTCGGCTGCAGGAAAGATTTATTGTGTGCATCTTCCTGATTCTCCTTGAAGTTTCCATTCCTTAGAACAGGGGTCTCCAACCTGGGCAACTTTAAGATTTGTGGACTTCAACTCCCAGAATTCCTAAGCCAGCAAAGCAAAGCTGGCTGAGGAATTCTGGGAGTTGAAGTCCCCAAGTCTTAAAGTTGCCCAGGTTGGAGACCCCTGGTCTAACGGAAACCTACCCAGTGAGTGGGGTTACGTGGGAATAACTACTACACACGCATGCATTTGGGCGAGGGAGGGGAAGAAGAGGGTGTATTGTGTTGGCCGCAGAGGGCGTCCTCCCCATGTTGGTAGCTTGTCCTTACCTCCGAAGTGAGACGGAAAGGAAAAGGAGAAACTTGCCGAGCGGAACGCTTAAAGCCCATCGGCGCGGGCAGAAGGACGAAACCACCCAAACAAATCTGGAAGCAGCTGCGGGCTTCGCTTTAAGCCACGTCGCCTCCGTCCAATCATCGCCTTCCCTCCTCAGGAGAGCAGCACGCGCCGCCTCAATCGCTGACTCCAACACCGCCGGCGTCTTAACGACCGACTTGACTTGTGAAAAGGTTTAAAAACAACAACAACGGTGGGCGGGGTGGGGAGACCGATGTGGTCAGGAAAAAAAAAATCCGCCAATCGGATTCTAGTTGAGCTGACGAGAGAGCCTTTTGCCATTGGTTTAAAAATGGTCACGTGCTTCTTTGGCTTCCTTTCCCCGCCCCTTGAATGGAGAAGCTGCTTGTAGGTAAAAGTAACTGGGTTGGTGAGCGGAAGTGTGGACGGTCCCTTCGGTGGTGTGGGTAGATTTGGTTAGGGAGGTTTGGATTACAGGCAGGAGAGAGTCCACACTGCAGTTTTCCGCTCCTAGCCTTGTGAACACGGGTGTTGTTAAACTCTCGGAAGCTTTCTTTGAGTAGCTATAGTATAGGTTCTGCCTGAACGGGGCTGGACTAGAAGACCTCCGAAGCCCTTTCCAGGCTCAAGACTTCTAAAGCTATAAAAGCTGCACTGAATGCTGGTCGTGGCTGAATTTTCTTTTAGGATTTGACTTTAGCTTTTGAAATATCCCCATTCCCATCCTCTCTCCCTGCGGAATTACTGGTTTTGAATAGTTGGTTCGGCGAGCAGAAGTTCAGCCATTGAAACCACGTAAGCATTAAAAGGCAGAATGTCTGTTTCGTGCAAAATAATGAGCAATCTGATGGAGATAAGGTTACATTGTACGCCTTTGGGTATGTATGTGTGAATATGCGCACACATAAACTTTGCAGCAGCGTTAACAATGACCAGAGCATCTCTTGTTAAGCATAGGCAACAAGAAACTTGGCCAATAAAAGATTAAGCCAAGTGTGAACAATTATCTGTCTATGGTTGCTAAAATAAAACACCAGTTTCTTGCCATTTTCGGATTAGGAATGGATGAAAACAGTAATATAAATCTTAAAATTGAAATTTTTAAAAAAAGGAAAATAGCTTCTACTTCAGTTTTGCTTAGATGTGTAATGGATTAAAACATTTGATCTTTAGACCGCAAAAATTTAAGACACTGCAGATGGTCTGGAAGGGCTTAGTAGCAAAGCTAGTGTTGATGTGGAAATTTATAAAACTGAAAATTACAATGGTGTTATTGCAGGGATGCACGGCAGTTGTGTACGTGTTCTGACTAATGTCCGTAACAACAACAGTATACTTTATGTTCACATTATGGCTCTATTATCACTATTTTAAAATCCACATAAAGATGCTATTTGTGCATTCCTAATGGCAGGTCAAATAAGGGAAGATTTGCTTTCTCTGGCAAATTTGCTTCCTATCAATTTTAAACCAATCTTGCACTTTTGTTCAGTTGATGTTCAGCATCAATATAATGTGGGAGGGAAAAGCTGATTTACATATTTATATGTTGTGATCACTGTGGACACCCTGTGGTGAAAGCAGGTTGAAACAGGTACCAAAATTAGAAGAAAAAGCATAAAATTCCTGGAAGACATTTTATTTGCATAGTATCAATGTGAACTTGCATGTATCTAATGCTTTGCTGTTCCCATGTATTTTTAAAGTGTGTGAACGATAGTAGTATGTCCTATGATGAATAATTAAGCTGTACTCTACAGATCAATAATAAGCCAATATAGATACTATGATGTAGGTATAGATATAGTTTAATTTTCACTTGCATTAAGGTAATTTGTTATTTTGATTTTAAATTGGCAGCACATTTCTTATGTTTTTATGTTTTCAAAATATAGCCCAAGATAATTAAGCATAAGACGCTGTCATCAACTTTTAGACAGAAATGTATATGCTATGTGAAGTCATAGTGATCTTTTAAAAGCTATAAGTCGTGGTATACTTTCTTAATATATTTGCTGCTAATATATTTAATATGTTTGGAAGTCATATATACCTTGAATAAAAAGTAAGTGAATGGGATTTATTTTAAGCAAATGTCTATCAATGAAATAGATCCTAAAACTAAAAATTGTAGATATATAATTAATAATTCTATAATAGCAATAATAATGTATTATCTTCAATTAAAAGACATTTCAATTTATTAATATGTTAAATATGAAACAATTTTTCTTGATATAAAATACTTAGATGGAGTTTAAAATTGAACATACATGGAACAGCCTTCCAGTCTCCCACGATCCAATAATAATCAGACTGAGTCCAGAAAAGGCTGGAATATTGATGGAAGTGAATGCCCCATTTTTCAATGATCCTCCAGCTCCTCCTGGTGAACCAGGAAAACCATTCAATGGATTATGGGACTATGAGGGTAAGTAAACTTTTTTGTATTAGGACTTAAAAATTTGAATATTCTGATAGCAATTCTTGCCTAGAGGTTCATTTCCCCCCTCTTTTTATAAGTACTGTAGCAAAATGCTGATGTGCCAAATGTTCCTATTTCAGTGCCTATAAGCTATTTTGTTTTCAGCATTTTAAATATATAAATTCTATTGATGGTCCTATTGCTTTTTCCTATGTACAGTGTAAACTGTAATGTCTAACCATAAACTATGGTAGCAAAATCTTACACTTCTTTCTGAACATAAATATTCAGGTACCATAATCAATTACAAAGTGGCTAAGTAGTTCTAGCAAGAAGACTTAATATTTTTGGTAAATCGGTTTTCAGACTTTCTATAAACATTTCTCAGATTTAGGGTTAGGGTTTATATTTAACTTTTTCATATGATGAAACTCTGCTATTTGCATAGCACTTCTACACTTCTGTTTGTAAGCAAACCACTCTGCTATTTGAAGCCCATCTTTCATACTAAATAAATGAATTTGCAGAAACACTTGGTCAAAATAAGTTTTATGTTATTAATGAGGCCTCCAAATGCTCAGCATATTGCTGGTTTCTTTAGTTTACTGATTTTCATACTGGCATCAAAAGTTTTAAAATATGATTTTGATAAATCTAGTATCTTAAATATTTGCATATTCATATGCAAATCTGCAAACATCAGACTGTTAGAAGTTTAACACAATTTAATTTTCTCTTGTTGTAAGTCATATATTACTACTTATACAGGCTTTTCTGATCTTGCCAACATAACCATTACCCTCTTGAAGTAAGTTTCATAAATTGGCCTGTATTTGTCTTCATTATCATCCCCTTATTTCATTATGACTGTTCGAATTAATTAGTATTTGAAAATGTTTTGCCTGAACAGAAATATTACTGTGAAATGAAACTGATGTGTTTAATTGGCTGTTTGATTTTTCTATTTGATGTTTCTCTAATGCCACTAAAATTGAATTGTTTTATCCTGAATATAAGGCTTTTCGTTTTACACCATTATTTTACAAAAACATAAAAATAAAGGGATATGCAACGAGTTCAACATATACATGTATTTTTTTTTAAATGCTTATCACTTGAAGACAAATCTTAGCTGGTAGTGCTAAGCTCTATGAGCTCTAAATCAGAGTGTGTTGAGACAGAACAACTTCAAATAGGGATTTAAAAGTTAAAAGCATATGAGTGCCAAGTGGGAGTTTGCATAAAGAAGTTGCACATTGTGAAATAAATATCTTGTGGAAGCCATTTGGATAGACCTTAATTTTTTACCCTAATTGCATTAAAATGCAGTATTATGATTTCCAAGTAGTTATTTTTCATACATGTCCATTAAGTCTGAACTTCTGTCATAGTTTTGTCAAAATTTGTCCTAGTTTTAAAACAATGGCTGTGATAAAGCATTTCCAATGCCTCTGATAGAAGCTTATACAGTTAGCTTAGATTCTGAATGACACTAGTAGGCTTCTGAAAAAGATTTTGTAATCTTTTGCATCTTTTTGCATGTTTGTGTGTGTACCTTTGAGTAAGTATTGGTTCTTGGAGAATCCTGGACTAATCTCTGCAAGATTTTGAAAGTGTTTGCTATTGCCTTGTCTCATAAGACTGAGAGATGGTCACTGGCACAAGTTTACCAAGTTGGGTTCATGCCTAAGGCAGGATTAGAAATCGGACTCTCCCAGTTTTTAACCTAGTGCCTTAAATGCTACACCAGACTAGCTCTCACCTTTGAATCATTAGATTAGGTAAAATAACACCGTAGTTACGGATGTTGTATTCAGTGATCTTTGTGGCTAGATGAAATAAACAAAAATGAACAATTATTATGTTATTTTAGTTGTAGAAGCCTTCTTCTTGAATTACCAAACCCAGCAGTACCTAGAAGTAGAGCTCTGCCCGTAAGTAGATATTTTCAAATATTTTTTAGAATGTTCTATAGCAGTGGTTCTTGATCCGTGGACCCCAGGGAGATCATGTCATCACAGGGGGTCCGTGAAGGCTTGAAGAAATGTTATGATTTAATGTTACGATCTTGAGTTAAGTCTCAGTGGTCTGTGGCCATGAAGGGTATTTAAAGGGGGGTCTGTGGTAAACAAAAGACTGAGAATTGCTGTTCTACAGTAATTATTTCAGCAGTTTTTCATTGGAGATATGTTTCTTTTTTATGTGTATCTTCAAGCATCTTGACTCCTGGCAACTGTCTGGATGCAATTCTGCAGTTCTCTTGGGAAGATTTTGGAAGTGGTTTGTCCTTGCCTCCTTCCTGCTGAGAGAATAACTGGCTCAAGCTGACCCACATGGCTTCATGCCTAAGGTGGTGACTAGAACTCATCATCTTCCAGCTTCTAGCTCATCTGCTGGTTTCAAGCCTAGTACTTTAACCACTAACACCAAACTGGCTTACATTCTTGAAATTATGTTTTAATTATGTATTAATGTCCATAGTCCATTTAAGTGGCTGGCTGGGCTTGAGTTTTTCCTTCCCAGGAAATGAATTGGTGGTAAAAGTTTTGTAGTTGCTTCTTCTACTCTAGCACTGCCTGCACCTTTTTGGGTCCATCTCTTGTGGGAAATGTGGTAGTCAATTTTACTCTGGTGGAATTCATATCTGGACAGCTTGGCATATAATTTGGTTGCTCGAAGCTTCTTGAGCATACCTCTGACTAGTTTTATGTGTTCTGCCATAGTCAAAATGTTATTAAGGTAAACTAGCACTCCCTTGTGCAGGTGTTCATGCAGCACTTCATTTATTAGTTGCATGAGCACAGCAGGGGCCCCTTGCAGTCCAAAACCCAGAATTGGAAACATCATAAGGAGGAAATTGAAAGTCGTGTGTGAATACGATGGAAAATAGGGAGAGGGAAAATGATAGGTAATAAAGATGGGAGCAGCCCGGATGCAGTTTGTACCAGCCAGGCATCAGGCACCAAAGCCAGGCATTCTGAAAAAATAATACAGATTACTCCCAAACATCTCTGCATTCTTAAAACATTTTGGCAAGCTCTGATTTCCGGGATATGAACGGTTCATGGGGGAAGGGATGGACTGCAGGCAAACCTTTCTGTATCTTTTGAGCATGGGAAAATTAAGAGCTAGCCTGGCTTTTACTGCAGCCAACACCTTTAGTTAAAGAATCTTTTGCTTTAACCAAATGGAGTCGAGGCTCTTTCTTTCCTAAGGGATCATATTGGGGACGTTAGATTTATGCAGCAGGAGAGGATCTAGTACTATGAATTGCAGTCTACGTTTTACAGGTATCACTCTTGGTACTATGTACCTGTTTGGAATTGTTCTGTAGTTTTTGAACAGTCATGGGAAATACTTTGTGGTAGTGTTTCATAGCAGATAGATAGCATAAAAATAAATGAACCCACAACCTACTTTTACAATGATTAATGATACAAGTATAGTTCAATAACTTGAAAGGCCATTCCTATCCATGTTTTATAAAGTAACAGCTACTTTTTACAGCTTGAATAAAAGAGCAATGTTATTAGGGCAATGAAAAATAGCATATTAAAAGGCTGCAGATAATAATGCAACGCAGCATTATACAGTGATTAGAATGCATCTAACAGGATAAGAGTCTTTGATAGTTTGGGCTACCTGTAATTGAAACATAAATAAAAATATGCTAATTCTTTTCGGTCTCTATGATTATCAGTTTTTTCATAAGATAGGATTATTCTTTTTGAGGTATGCCCTGAAAGCAAAAACAACAGCAACATTAAAACAGTGGTAAAATAATTTCAATTCTGATAATCTATTTCAAACCAGTTTATCGGGATTTCATATTTTGAGGAAATCTGCACCCCTCCAGACATCATACAGCCTAACTACAGATTATAGTAGTAGCAAAATGATTCAAAATGATTTTATGCCATACACAAATCGAACAAAGTGAGATAAGGTTTGAGACTACTCCATTTTTGCTACCATACCTAGACACGAAGAACATAAACTAGACCATGTTATTTAAAGAATAAAGATGTGTTCAGGTTGAACACAGTTTAGGATGATTATTTAGACAAAACTTTTTCTTGGAAATAATATAAAAGTGTTTTGCCACTGTTTTCTTCTGGGATCTTTAAAGAAAAATTCGTAGTTTAGCAATCCTAGATATCCTACTACACAGGTGTCAAACTTGTGGTATCACGTTGCTGTCGCATATCGTGACTTTTTCCCTTTGTGAAACAGGGGTAAGTGTGGCCTGTGCATGACACTTCCGGTGCGCGGACCACCAGTTTGACACCCATGCCTAGTAGTCTTCTATCCAGGTAGTCCTTAACTTACAGCAGTTTGTTTAGTCACCATTCAAAGGTACAATGGCACTGAAAAATGTGACTTACGACAATTTTTCACAGTTACGACTCTTGCAGCATCCCATGATCATCTGATCAAAATTTAGGTGCTTAGCAATTGGTTTATATTTATGACTTGCAGTGTACCAATATCATGCAATCCTCTTTTGTGACTTTCTGACAAGCAAAGTCAATGGGGAAGTCAGATTTACTTAACAACTGGGTTACTAACTTATCAACTGCAGTAATTCACTTAGCAACTATAGCAAAAAAGGTCATAAAATGGGACAAAATTCACTTAACAAATGTCTCATTTAACAACAGAAATTTTGGGCTCATAAGTCGAAAACTACGTATATTAATAGGACCTAACTCAGCTTAGCTTCTGAACCAAGTTAATTCAGAAATGGTTAATACGCAACTGTATCTATGTATGTGTGTAACTTTATCTCAGGATATGTATATATAATGGCTGTACATTGCAAGAAAATTTATTAAAAGTAGTCCTGTATCTTTAATGTTTTCATATTCATTTATTAGCTGATGGCTGCTATTTTGCATGTTAGCAGCATTGTCTTCAGGTAACAACTAATAAGTAGACTCTGGCTGGATATACAAAGCAAATATTTTTCTGTTATCTTTATATTATATTTTTATAGGCATGGCCAACATTTAGTATTGTTCCTTTGGGGCAAACGGAATATATGCAGAGTAAGTGAACCATTTGAGTTAATATCTCCCTAAATATGTGAATGATTCTGAGAAGATGGTAAATCTGTGTTTTAATTTTTTTTTTACTTAACACAGAAAGAACTTCCTTTAAAATTTGAAGTTTCAAGGGCAACTACCAAATGGAGGGGTCATGCTCATTTGCCTTGGAATTTTTTTCCTCCCAACACTGACAGATTTAATGCATTTGCAATTCATGGATCAGATATGAACAGAACATACGAAGCTCTCTATCCTATTCCTCAAAATGAAGTTCACTTTAATCAGAAACCTGATTTGTAAGTATATCTCTGATGCCATTTTTTTATGAAAGGCTGGTATAGGGAAGAGAATATTTTATTGCCCTATAATAAAAAATAAAGTTTTATAATGTTATTATATTTATATTCCACTTTTCATACAAGATCTCAGATGGCATGCATAGTACATGGTTTGTGGAGAAAATACCACAAACCATGAGAAGGGTTGTGTTCAAAGGGTCTAGATAGGTCCAAAGTCATCCACTGACTTCTCTAAGACTGGGTTTGAACTATCAAACTGTAACCCTCAAACCACTATAGGTTTGAGAATAAATATACCAAGAAAATCTAGATTAATTTTGGGATTGTTTATTTGTTTAGAATCTACCAATAGCACATTTATTATTGAACATAATAATAAAACATCTGTTCTTTAAACCACCAATAGCAAAATCTACTTAGTTGATTCTCCTGTTTTATATAATTTACAGTATAAATACTGTCTAGCATATTTCAAATATATTTTAAAACTATTTTTGAAGCTTTATGTAATGCAATAAAAATATTCACATATTGCTTGTCTTTTATATCCTTCATCTTCGATATTTTGCATCCTTTCTGGGGCCTGGAATTTGCTATATCCTATGCACACTGGTATCTCCTGAATACCTATTGGTGATGGTTATCTAATTTTTAACCTACCTCCAAACCCCTAATTAAAATCATGGACAGCTTCAGTTTTTCATGAAAATAAATTAATTTGTAGGTTTAGAAAACATTAGGCTAGCAATTTTTTGACAGTTTGGAAACCTCTAGGGCTTGATTTAACAGAAGAAACATACAAGTATGTGCTTAATGGGGCATTTTGCAGAGATTATCTTTGGGAGGAACTGTTGGTGCTGCTTGCCTCATGTGTACATACACTTAACTGATTGGCTTGTCTTAATTTGGCATAGTGGTCTACCTGAAAGTTTTACATATTTACAAAGAATACTGTATGTTTCCTAATAAAAATTGAAAGATATAAAACAGTGTTTTTCAACTTTAGCAACGTTGCAATGTATGGACTTCAGAACTGAGAATTTGCAAGCCAGCATTGCTGACTGGACAGTTCTGGGAGTTGGAATCCACACATCTTAATGTTGCTAAGGGCGAAAAACACTGGTATAAAATGTGATATTTAAAACAGTTTGATAATATGTATATAGAAACAGCTAGCAGAGATGTGAATTTTGTTTCTTGAGTAAATGAGCTATCCTAGCATTCTAATACAGTACAGAATTTATCATTCTTTGTAGCAACTCAATAGGAATGAAAAGGACAAACACAGCTGTTAACTCTTTGCTTGCTTTCCCTTGCAGCCATCGTCTGGAATATTTTAAAAAATTCAGTTTCAAACAATTAATGGGAGAAGATTGGAAACAGATCAAATCAGACTTGTGGGAATCGTGTGTGAGATGAAAAATACAAGAATATTGTAAAGCTTTGTCTGAGCAAACTTTTGTGGGCAGGGATCTTTCTTTTTAGGGCTGCTGATGGGCTTTTGAAAAAGAAAAGGGACCTTTCTCAAATTAAAATTGTTAGAAAAGAATTTGGAAAATATAACTGCTGTAAGATTATTGTATGAAAAAAATGGAAATACAATGAAAAACCATTTAGAGAAAAATTCACTTATAAAATTAACTGAACTTATAGAAAAGATGAATATGACCAGCTTAGTGAGAGAGATAAAAAGACCAGAAACCTATGGACATTTTGCTGAAAGAAAATTTAATGAAATCAATGATTTCAGGATTAATAATGGACAAAGTGGATGATAAAAATATTAATATAATTACTTGATAGAAATGCAGGTGGAAGGTGTAATTGTATGTTCTCTTCTTTCATTTCTGAAATATTCCCTTGCTATTTGTTTTGTTCATTTTGTATACTTAAACTTTTGTATATTGAAATATATGTGTGTACGTGTGCACATGAACACATGTACACTTAACAAGCTTCTTTACTTCTTTTAAGCTTTTATAAAAGTGACAAATTAAGCCACTTATAGAAGATAGTAACTACATTATAGTTACTACATAAAAATGAAGTGGGCATTAACCTCCATTTCTAATGCAAATTAAGATAGATTATTGGACACAGTTGGTTTTTTTTATAGTACTAGAAAGTCTATAGTGAATTAAATGGCAGAGTCTTGGCATCAGGGCAAAATTTATAGATATATGAACCGTGTGTATATTTTTGGAATAAAATAATAATCAGTACCTGGAATCATGTAAAAGTTTTCCTTCCTTTTATCTCTGCATTTTATTTAAATAAAATCATAACAGTTTATATTATTAAAAAATTATTTATGGTGTGGAAATAGATGACAATAGTAGAATCAGCCACAATGCATAGAATTTTAGCCTTCCTTTAACATTTATATGATAGTGGCTGTTTATTTTTATTTTTTCTTTCTACAATTTATAGGTCACTTAGCTCCCAGTAACTCTGGCATCTTACAATTATAACGTTAAAAAAAAGACAAAAGACATAAAAGAGATCATGAACAGCCTCAAGGCAAACATATGAACCAAAACAAACCCATCCAGTAGGTGCTTAACCTTCAGCCTGCCGCAAAGCCAGAGAAAATAACTAGGTCTTTAATCATTTCCTCAATGTCATCAGGGTTAGAACCATCTGGAACTCATGACAGAATACCTTTCCAAAGAAGGCATACTTCCTAGATTTAGCCAATAGGCACTTCTTGGTTGATGGGACCTAGTCTATCCAATCTCATTAGATGGGCAGAAGCAATGAGAGACAGGTCTTCCCTCAAATAATGCATTGCATTTAAATCGGAATGGGATTTATTTAATTTTGGCTTAATGTTACTATGGTTCTGCTTAGCCTGTTATACAAATCCAAGCTGCAAACCTTAGCTAAATTATGTCTTAGTGCAGTGTGAATTATCAACTTAAAACAGGAGGTTGGAGTACTGAAATTGCTATTGACTTTCTTATTGTTATTGACTAAAATTTTTAAAGCTATGAAGTAAAGAGTATGGAGTCTAAGGGCCTGCAAGTATTGTTGGAGTTCAGTTCCCAATACATTCACTGTCAGATAGCTAGGCCTGTATTTTAGTCCATATCATGTTTCCCCCAAAATAAGACCCAAGGGGGGGGGGAACTAGCATGATTTTTTAGGATGCTCATAATATAAGCCCTTCCCCCCAAATAAGCCCTAGTTAAGATCGTCAGCCAGACGGAAGCATTTAGTACCATATTTTCCTTAAAAATAAGACCTAACCAGAAAATAAGCCCTAATTATCTTTTGGAGCAAAAGTTAATGTAAGAGTTGGTCTTATTTTGGGGGAAACCCTGATGTATTTTAAACATACACATTCGTATTCTGGTTTGTATACAGCAGGTAGGTCCCCCAGCTTTCCCCTTGGTTTGTTGTTTTAAAATGCAAGAATTGTTAAGAAAACGAAAGGAAAATAACTTTAGCTCAAGTTAAAGGAACCATAGTAGAAAAAGTTGGGGGGGGGGGATAAAGAAAGCAAACAGGCTGCTGCTTCAGGAAACTGTTTCTAAACGAACGACTAAGTCTAGATAGAAAACTATATTAATTTTTGTTTTCTGTTTGTGCTTGGGATTAATTTTTCTATACCAGCTCAGTAACTCTACTTTTGTTAACCTTGTAGATAGGAATCACAGCTGAACTGTTTCTACTTTACTATAAAACTATATTGACATAATTTTGCAATAATTTATTTAAATAATTTTGAAAGTATCATTTTCCCATCTAGTGCAGTAAATTCCATCACCCTCCTTATCCTTTAGAGCCCAAGTAGGTATGGATCTTTCTGAGCCTTTTGCCATGCCCACTGTCTATTTGTGGGCTAAGCTGTCTCTTATCTGATGGTTGTCTCTTTGGTCAGTCTCCCAAGATCTTTTCCACAAGCCATTACAATTTTTAATGTCAGATAAATTTTCTTTACAGTAGGGTTGCACCTAAGGACCAGCCTAACAACACGTCTATCCAGAACTGTATATTTTTATATCTTACTATTCATTTTGCATGATAGTACTTACAGTTAAAAATGTTCACATCCCCCTTTTATTTTTTTAAAATAAAGCTTGTGTCTATTTATCTCGTGTGAGATTGGTTTATCTATTAAAATGAAAGGGAAGAGAGCAGGATTTTACTAGCTATACAACTAATGCTAAAGGCCAGAAGGTGGTGCTAGAAAATCTGTTTATTTTTTCTTTTCATTTTAATTTCCTGGAAAAGCAATGAAGCTTGTGGGAGTTTTATCTCTCCCATACACTATGGCTCAGAGGAAGATACTGGGTGAAAGGTTCCCCTGGAAAACAGATGGTAGCAGCAGGTATACCAATCCACCACACCAAGGCAAGAAGCAGAGATGGGGTTCATAAAGTCATTAGGTTTCCAATAGAGTAATTTTCAAATTAAATATGTAGTTCTAGTTTCAAAGTGTATTAAATGCAAAATATTTTATCTGTACTTGCCAAGGAACTTTTGGAATCAGTATTCTTCCATAGGCTTATGAATGATATATTTAGTTTCTTTCCTGTCATATGCTAAAGCACTTACTCGTTTAAAGTTATTTTGTCATCTTTAATACGAATATTCTCAGTGACCCATCAAGCTCCTCAGGGTGTTACAGATAGCAAATTAGAGCTGTTGTAATGCTACATTTGAGTTTGTGAAAATGCTCGCCTTTCTATCTCCAGAATAACCATTATTTATAATTTGTATTTTTGATGGTAAAGTGGCAGGTATTAAATATCATGCTTTTAAATTATGTATATATAGTTATCATTCAATAAGCAGGATGAAGATTTCGGGGCATTTTTTCCCCTATGGTTCAAATGTTATCTAGTCATTCTGCAAACTACATGGCACCGATAACAGCTTTAGCAGAAAAGTGACAGGCAAGGTAGATTTATGCAAAAGGCCCAGCTGCAGCCTCTACCTGTTATTCACATAAAACCCAGATTACTAAGCAGCTCTGCTTGAAGAAAGGCAGCCCCATCATTAGCCAAAGCTGGAATATTTGGAATTGGAAAGCTTTACACATACAAAGTCATTCTGTCTTCATGAAACATGATTACCTGATGTTTCATGTATCACAGGACATTTTATATTACAGGGTTGCTCCAGTTAGGAACATTTCTGGAGCAGACATTTGCTTCTGATCTCATCACACTAATACTATATTATTCTACTATATTTCTTTAACTCAGTCCCTATGGAACTGCTCTTGAAAATTACTCAAAAAGAACAGCTGGTGGAAGGTGCAATCCCTTTAAACTTATTGTAATGGAGTGTTTCAATAAATCCCTGTCACACACAACGCTGAGGGGTACATCACTTCAGGCTGAAACTGTTTACAAATAATCCTAAATAGCATAGAATTTGACTGCTGATGCATTTGTGACTTTTGATAGATGTCTTATGAGATCACTTGCTTTTTGTAAATTCTCTCCATCTTTAATTGGCTGGTAGAGAGCACTTGATAAGTGTTTGTACCTATATGATGTAGATCAAAATGGAACCCTCCCAGCCATGATTGCCAACTGCTCTTTGAGCAGGATTCATAAGTCTTCTAGGATGACTCCCAGATTAACACTGTATTTATCTAAGGTAGCGCAATCCTATCCAGCACTCAAATAGCACCCAAAGGGTCCTTGAAACAGACCCCAAACAAGCCATTCAGTCATGCCAGGCATTGTTTCATATACAGACTCTCATAGACTTCAGAAATAAGGATAAGATACTCAGGCATTATTTAAGTCACCAGGGGATATACTGTATTCTATCTCATGGAACCCTATGAGTTTACTCAACAGGCTTGTGTAGATGTTAGGAAAGATAATAGGACCAAGAGTAGGTTTCTATTTCCCAATGAACATAACTGGAATTGGTCCTCAAGAAAGGGGTTGAACCAGCACAACAACATGTCATGCTATCTACTCCCAATCTTCTGGTCCAAATGCATATCATGCTTGATGGTATTGAAAGCCACAAAGGGGGCAAGAATGGATACATCAGGTCTGAATCCTTACTGAAAAGAGTCCCAATAATCAATTTCTTCCAAGGCCCTCTGAAGCTGTTGCATGACTACCTTCAACAGATTCTTCCTAAAAGAAAGGTAAAATGCTACTCGGAAATTGTCCAGTATAATGCAGTACAGTGATGGCTTCTTGAATAGGGGAACCACAGTCTTTAAGAGGTAGAGGAACACCCCCTCGCTCAGAGAAGAATTCACCAGCACTAGAACCCATTCACATGATGTTCTGGGTTGCTTTAACAGTCTAGGAGGGGCATGGATATAAAAGGCAGATGTCTGAGGTCATAGTCCTGAAAACAGGTCCAATAAGTTCAGACCATTCTCAAACAATCAGGCAAGACTTCACCCAATCACCTGCTGGGGACCTGCAAAAGACAGTTTCCAGCAAACCCAAGTGACAGTATCCAACAGATGCTGTGCCAATTCCTCATGTCCCTGTAAGATATTCCTTATTTGGGAGGGTCTGTGTCACCTGAAATAGAATAATGGGGTGGCATTCTCTGGATGCAAAAAAGGCAGAGAAGTAGTGACACTGCTGTTCTTACTGCCACAAGATTGGCATTAGTGTCCTGTGCTCAGTCTAATTCAGTGGTTCTCAACCTTTTCTTCACCACAGACCCCCTTTAAGTATTTTTTGTGGCCACAGACCATGGCCACAGATCTTCAAGACTTAAGATTTAAATCATTTCTTAAAGCCTTTGTGGACCCCCAGTGATGAAAATGTGCC